CGCCCACAGTCACCAGGCTCCCTCGTGAGAGCCGGTGGAGGGGCTGGCAGTGCGGCGTGCCGTGGCCGTGGCTCATTATTCAGGACGGCAAGCGTTCTCCAGAAACCCACCACCAGGCCGAGCGGGCAAAGCCTGGGCAGGCAGCTGCTGGGTAAGGGCCCACAGTTGTTCTGTCAAAGGCGCCAGGCCACGAGTTAACTGTCCAGTTTACTGTCCAGCTTTCTGGTACACATGATCCAGGATTTCTCCCTTTCTGCCATCTCGCCCGCCTCCGTCCATTCCACTAGCAAATGCAAGGCACCCCGACGTGTCCTGAGCGCTGTGAGCACAGAGGTGGGCTGTCAGCCGGTAACCACTGCTTACCTTCCCTTTCTTCCCCAGAGTCTCAAACTGAATATCCCCGAAGGCGTCGGTGGGAAATTCCTTGGTGTGCTTCTTGTAATTCCATTTCTCGTTCTGGTTGACCTGGGTGCCTTCGATGTGCTGGCTCTGTGCGTACCCACACTTGCACACGTTATCGCTAGAAGCCGCCATGACGGCGGGAAGAACAGGCTTGTCACACCAAGTGAACGTCAGCTTTAGTCAACACCCCTCCCTCCAGCCCTCACTCGACGTGTCTGTCAAATGGAATGACAGCGGCCCTGCAGGGCAGGTGTCCAAGAGGCAGCCGGGTGTATAAAGCCCCCAGGACACAGTCGGCAAAGAAGTATTTGCTGAACGAGTGAATCCAAATTCTGTTTTCTACTAGTCAAACAAAGAGTAAAGACAATATCTTTCAGTGTAACATTTGGGGATAGGCAACGGACTCATAGAATTGATATTCCATCAGAATATTTCATAAGGATTGATATTCCATCAGAATATTTCATAAGGAATCAGTTTATACCAATGACAAAATAGAAATGTTTTTTCTGATGTCCATTTTCAAATTCACACAAAATAAGAAAGCCCATTTGCTGAGAACCTCCCATGCGCTGAGGCACGAGGGCAAGAATATCATGCTGCCCCTTTATGAAAATCTAAGAGATTTACTTTGCTAGAGTTTTAGGATAGGAATTTGGTTCAGAAAAGGGGGGGTTCGGCTCTAGGTCTTGTAGCAAGCACACACCCAAGCCCTGGGTGTGTCCAGGGCTGACTCTAACGCTCTTGTTTATTCTTGCCCATTTTTACTCCTCTGTTCCCTACTGCAGTCAACACAGGATCCGTGCTTTAGTTATAAACGACAGTAACCACTATCCAGTTAATAGCTAGATGCTCCTATCAGCAGCAGACAAAAGAGTAAAGGTGAGAAGCATAGCGAGAGAGGAGAGGGTGATCGGACTGAACTGTCCCATTGGGTTCATGGCCGAGGCCCAGCTCCACCATGGGTCCACCCCTCCCTTGCTCACTGACCAACTTTCACCGGGATCTCCTACATCTGAGTGCTGGCAGTGGCTCCCCATGGCTTTGGAATTCAGCCTTCATATTCCCGAATTCATGAAACTCCGAGCAGGTGAACATCTGGCCTGATGGGAACACCCAAAGTCACCTACAGGGAAGGGCGGCCCAGCAGAGGAGCGGAACACACATGTCTGCACGGCGTGTGGCCTGCCGACCACATCAAACAGCAAGGCACGTTGCCATGGCAGCCCACGTGGCCCCCCACCCCACCCCCAGGCTCTCTGGGACAAGGAGCGCTGGAGCAACAACCTCTTGGTCCCTTTACCAACTGTTACCACCACTAAAAATATTCCCTAAAGGCTACTTCTCTAGGGACCAGCTACAAGCCACATACCAGATCCTTCCTGCTACTCATCATTTCTGAGAATTGCAAGATGAAAACAATTTTAATGATGAACTAGTGAACATTTGTTTTTTGTTGTCGTAACGGTCGTTAATAATTTATTGTCAAACGTAGAAGCAAAAACAAAGATTAAAAAGTTGCTTACATGGCCTTGGAATCTTTGGTAAAGAAGACACATTCCCGCTTCTTAAAATTTGCTTGAATAAAATTCACCAAGTCCTTTGGAGAAAAAGCATTGGACAACCCATTAATAACTGATTTGCAGCACCTGCTGTTGTTAATGGACCTTAAATACGGCCCAAACCTTCAGGAGGGCTCAGCATTCACCGTGGGTTCATGGCGTCCAGCGTCTATCATGCTTTGGTGTGCATGCAGCTCTTACAAGAGACTTGCTTGAACATTTCTATCACGAGATGCACTTTTTTCCTAAAATTACTTGGCGTTTTCTTGTAATAAATGTCATTATACACATATAAATCATGTTTTCCATGTCTCTGGCTGCTCAGGGAATGTAAGCATGTGTTGACAGTTTCGCATAAATAATGTATCCATGCCGTGTTCCGTCCCCCTTAAGCAGGCTTTTCTAAAGACGCAAGCAAAATCTCCCTCAGGGCTGCTCTTGTTCCCCCATGAGCAAGGTGGTAGGGCATTTCTGAGACCTGACTGACAAACAACCCAAATCCCTTCTCAGCCCAAAGCTTCCTGAGAGTCGGCAGCAGCAAACTCCTTGGAAACAGGAGGGAAGTGCTTCAGAAATGGCTCGACTCCTAGAAGATACTGGCAATGGAATTAATAGGCTCAGTCAACAGAAAATATAAAGAAGGATAAATCACCAGGAATACGACAGGCAGCCCACTGGCATGTGGACTGATCCAGGCCTGGGGTGGGTGCGGACGCACGGGTAGCCCCCACAGGAGAGGGAACCGCGCTCATCACAGCGAGGGGCAGCAAGACAAAACCACGGGACTTCCACGCCCACACCCAGGATGGAGAAAGTTAAAGGTAACTGACACGGGCCACAGCCCCGTGCCTGCTCTGGGCCCACTCTGGAAAACTGACCCCCCCCGCCTTTGCCAGCAAGGTGACACCCCTAGAAACAGCCCCTGAGCACAGGGGCTGGGTGTCTTGTGGACCCCAAAGCTAAGGGGCCTGGCCAGGGCCCCCAGCACTGGGCTGTCCTGTCCCAGCAGGTGGGGCCGGCAGAAAACACGCTTCCTTCGCATCACCGGCCACTGGCAGCGGCCTCTCGAGCTGCTGAGCCCCCAAGTCAGGCTGCTGATGCCAAAGCCAGTCCTGACGCCTTGGCTCCCGAGAGCCCTCACCAGCCATGCACCCGCAAAGAAGAAATAAGGGGTCCATCTCCTGCAGCAAAGTCCACAGTGCATCTGCCATCTCTTTCCTGCTCCACCAGGCGTCCCTTTGGGGAGGACGGAGGCTTGCTGGCCTGTTTGCCCTTCACGGCTCACCGATGTGCCACCAAGTCAGGGCCAGGCCCCAGGGGCCTCGCGCACCCTCCCTTCTCTTTCTGGCCACTGTCCCAAGTCACTATCCCAAGCTTTCACGCCATATTCATGGGGGAACCTTCAAAGTAACCTGAGAGTGAGCAGAAAGCATGTGGGGCACCCCAGTGTCAGCAGGAAGGTAGGAGGCACCCCGGCACTGGGAAAGCTTTGGGGGTACATGCCCCCACTGCGGAGGGTGGGCAACAGCCTGCGCCCTGCCCACACCTGCTCCAGCCCCACAGCCCAGCCTCACACCCTGCCCGGTCCTATGTCCCCTGGCTGGCTTGTCCAGCAGGCAAGGGCTGGGAATGTCTCAGGCCTGAAGGAGACGTGGGTGTGGAGTGGAAGGAGACGAGACAGAAGCTGCCGGGGGGTGAAGCCAAACCAGCCGAGACCCAGGCGCAGAGCTGAGGACTTAGATTCGAGAAGGGCTTCCGTGAGCCCCGCAGACAGAAGGCCGTGTGGTGCCGCCGCTCGGCGAAGGCAGAGAATGGGACCTGGGGTGAGCGAGCAGCC